GCGCCCAGCCAAGGGCTACCGGGTAGTGCTGCTCGGCAGCATGGACGTGGGCAAGACCGCGCTGGCCACACAGTTCGCGTGCGGCCGCTTCCCCGAGCGCTGCGAGTCGTCGGTGGAAGAGCTGTTCAGCAAGGTGATCGAGGTGAACGCGGCGCCCGCGCTTCTGGAGATCGTGGACACCGTGGGCGCGGACCACCTGGTCACCCTCAAGGACCTATACATCAGGAACAGCGACGGCTTCGTGGTGCTCTACAGCGTGTGCAGCGAGGCCTCCTTCGAGGCGGTGCGGCCGCTGCGCGAGCGCATGGGCCGGCTGCGGGGGCCCAAGGCCGTGCCTCTGGTGCTGGTGGGCACCAAGGCCGACCTGGACGCCGAGCGCCAGGTGCTGACGGCGCAGGGCCGCGCGCTGGCCCGCGAGTGGCGCTGCCCGTTCCTGGAGGTCACGGCCAAGAGCAAGATGATGGTGGACCGCGTGTTCACGCAGGTGGTGCGCGAGATGGAGGCCCTGGCCCCGCCGGAGGAGGCGCCCCGCGTCCCGGTCAACGCCCATAATACGTGGCCGTCCGAGAGGTTCATCGGCTAGTGTGCCGCGGTGATCTTCCGCGTCGGTCGCGCTTCGTGACTTCTGAAGCTCAGTGTCGGTGCTCAGTGCCTTTTAAAAGAAAGCTCCCACGCCTAGACAAGTGTGTGCTTCTGCATACCAGCTCAGACGGCGCTCAGGCCGCCTGCCTGCCCAACCCTGGCCCAAACTGTGCCACTTTGTTTACCTCTGACTGCGCTACAAGAAGAAACCAAAAAAAGCTCATTTCCCCCAGTGTGGAGACAATACCCTTCTTTTCTTTCATTGGAATTTGTTATGGACTTGTGTGGTTGTGATTAGCACCCGGTTGATGTTTGCTTTGATTGAGGACGGCCACCTGAACTTTTACGTGTGTGCCCGTTGCAGGAGGTTTTCTCGTGTTTCCTTCTCCTTCACAGCCTGGAATTGCAGCAGTAAGATTTTCCTCGGCGTTATTCTAAATATAGTTATGACATACACAACGTTGGTTTGAAAGGAGATATTGTTGGAGGGGGACAACTGCCCACACAAAGAGCTCAGAGCTGCCTGTTTGTAACTGGCATCTAATCGATTTCTGCCACTGTAAATTGGAAATAAAAAAAAAAATGGCTTTAGAAATTGATGGTTTTTAGAGTGTCTGTCTGACTTACCTGTAAATCTGTAATTCCTAAGGTTTTCACACACTGCTTCCAGTTATTCTCCAGGAAACAAGCTGGTGACTAGAGGGAAGGGTGTCCAGCTGGTAGGGAGTGTTTTGGCAGAAGTGCTTTGGGGAGCCAGTGTTGGCCAGGTTGAGATGTTTTGTCTGAATACCTGCATAGCTGAACGGTGACAGAGCTCCTGAAACACAAGCAAACCAGCAAGGATGTTTTTGTATAGTTTTCACATAATATGATAAATGTTAAAAACTGACCTTTGAAATGAGTACTTTATATAAATTTGCACAAATTAACAATTTTACCTCCCTAGCTGCAACATACATATATTTTTTAACTTAGGAAGCCATTTTGAGCAATCTCCTAAAAAATAAATAAATAAAAAAGGAAGCTCAAAACTATGCCTATGATCTGAAAAAATGTGTTAAAGGAAAGTTATTTGTAAAGTGGTTATGAGGCTCTGTTTATTTGTATGATATGTGATTTGGGGGTGGTACTGGGGATTGAACCTAGGAGTGCTTTACCACTGAGCTACATCCCCAGTTCTTCTTATTATTTTACTTTTGGGAGGTGCTAGGAATCTAACCCATGGTTACTTGCACGCCAAGCAAGCACTCCACCACTGAGCCACACCCCCAGCCCTGATATGTGGTATTTTAATAGAAGATAGACTTTTTCTTACTATAAAGGTTATGTGTCAGAGCTTTACTGCTGTCCAGGATGGCAGTTCTCCCTCTCTTCCCCCGCTTCCTGAGATGGGGTGGGCAGAAGCTGCTGACTAGCTCCCCTCCTGCACCCTAGATCTTGCCCGGCCACCTCCTGGGGGTGCTGTCAATCACCTCTCTGAGGGGTTGTTGTTTCAGAGGAGAGGGAGGGTGAGGCATCAGTGAGGGGAGCACTTTCCAGGCCTCAGAGTCACTGTCACTGTCAAAGCTGCCCCTCCTGCTGAGGGGAGGGGTCAGGGAAAGCTGGCAGGGGAGTGGACAGCATTTTGTTCCCAGCCCTGAGAGCTGGCCCCATCCGTGACTGGAAGCAGAGTGGCTGAGTGGGTCCCCCCCTTCGCACATACACACACCCCACTTTCTGACTCTCCATCTGCCTGCGCTGAGGCCTCCAGGGAAGGTTTGTGTCCCTGCATCCCAGTTCCCATGGATATAAGGGCTCCATCCAGGGAAATATTCCCAGTGGCCATTTCTGCCTTTGGATCCCTGGGATGACCTCAGACACTCCCACTCGGATCCAAGTTTCCAAGTTTCCGACTGAGGGCTGTTTTTGGCTGAGCAGTCAACTGGATGAACGAGGGGGCCACGTGGCCAGCTCCTCCAACCTCAGGAGTGCGTTGGGAGCAGCTTTCTGGGTGTGCGTGTGCACACATGTACAGATCCACATAAAATTAAAGACCTGCAGTCGGGATTTCCCTTCTCTTCCTGTATTTCTAATTTCTAACTTCCTTGTGTTAGGCACCAGTCGCCTCAATCCCTTCAGAGACGGGCCTAAGTGACTCCAGAGTGAATTTGCCAGGGGCTGCTTCCCTCCTGCAGGCACCCTGCTCCGGGTGGGGGAGGTGCCAGGACCTCCCAGTTCTTGGCGCTGGAGTCCCACAGGAATGTGTCAAGTGGCTGAAGTTCCACTCTGTCCAGGGGAGGGCTGTGGTGTTCAGGCCGATGCTGAGGACTCTTTGGGTGGATTTAAAACACTTGCTTCAGTTGTGTGATCTGCCTCTTCTCTGCTGCTGGAGGTCTCCCTGTCTGTGTTCAGGGCAGCCCCTGAGAGGTCCACAGGGATTCCTGCCTGCTGGTCCCCACGCCTGTTTAACCCTTTCCCTCGAGGGTGGGCTGGACCTAGTGGCCCTCTTTTAATACATGGGCAAAAAGGTGGGATGTCACTGACAAAAAGGCCACCCAGCTCAGCAGCTCTGCAGAGGCCCCGACCCGCAGGACCGGGGGACGACCTGTGCTTATGTTTTATACCAGCCGCGTTGGGACCTGCTTCTGGGCAGTGTGGAAGCTGAAGGCTGAGGTGCCCTGGAGGGACCTTGTTGTCCTGGAGAACAAAGAAGCCGGGGATGTGTTACTGGAAACTGGAGGGGAAGGGATTCTGTACCTGATGGCAGAAAGCACAGCCTCTGGACCTGTGGAAAGTCGAAAGTCCCTTGGAGATGGGCGACCCTCTAGGTCTCCCAGCAAGATGCTGAAGGCACCACTTGGTTCCCTCTCACTGCCTACAGTAAATATGCAAAAGAGAAATGAACAACAAGGCTGCTAAGTCATATTCCATTGTGTATAAATGCCACATTTTTTTATCCATTCATCTATGAAGAGCAATAAAATCATGGCATTTGCAGGTAAATGGATGGAATTAGAGGAGATAATGCTGAGTGAAGTTAGCCAATCCCCCAAAAAACAATGTTTTCTCTGATATAAGGAGGCTGATTCATAGGGAGGGGGAGTATGGGAGGAATAGATGAACTCTAGATAGGGCAGAGGAGTGGGAGGGGAAGGGAGAGGCATGGGGTTAGAAATGATGGTGGAATGTGATGGACATCATTACCAAAGTTCATGTATGAAGACACAAATTGATGTGAATATACTTGTACACAACCAGAGATATGAAAAATTGTGCTCTATATGTGTAATATGAATTGTAATGCATTCTGCTGTCATATATAAATTTTTAAAAATTAATAATAAAAAAGGAAGGTTGCTGAAAAGGGACCAGTACTTGGTGAGAATTTCTCAGTGTCTCCAAATGATGAAAGACACTACATTTAAAAAATGGCTTGCCAACAAATTCTGAACCCAGGAGAATTGGCCCACTGTGTAGCTATGGGTATGACTGTAAAACCTCCTGTTGAGACCTCAGAAAGATCAAAGGTGGTGCCCACAGTAATCCTCAGTCACATCAAAGGTCCTTTAAAAAGGAGGTGTGCCCTGATCAGCAGGGGCCACGCCAGCAGGAGGCCAAGGTAGAGAAGGACCTATCCCAAAGGCTTCCTGTGTTTCTTTTCTCTAATGCTCAATGGAAATCTCAGGGAGGCCACAGACTTTGCCCCCAGGACTGGGGTTTGAACCCAGGCTCTCTAATGCTGAGTCTGGTTCAAACTTGCAGTCCTACCACCTCAGCCATTTGGAGGCTGGGATTACAGTGGTGGGTCACCATGGTCTGGCCCACAGAGGTTTAGAAAGAATTATATCAGCACAGATACCACCAGTGTGGACTTAAAAAGCAAAGCAGGGGACTGGGGCTGGGGCTCAGCAGTAGCGCACTTGCCTGGCATATGTAAGGCACTGGGTTCAATTCTCAGCACCACATATAAGTAAGTAAAATAAAGGTCTATCAACAACTTTAAAAATATACATTTTTTTTAAAGCAGGGCAGTACAAAATAAAAGGAGATGTTGAAAGGAAGTAGCCTGAGAAACTGTGAGATCACAAAGTGTGCTCTCTTCCATAAAAAATAAATAGAAAATTTTTAAAAAAGAGATTCAGGGGGCCAGGTATACCTGTGATCCAGTGACTATGACACAGGTTCTAGGCCAGCCTCAGCTACTTAGTGAGACCCTGTCTCAAAAAAAAAAAAAAAAAAAGAATGCAGGGAACAGAGCCAAGAGCTCAGAGGGTAAGGCCCAAGCCATGGAGAGTTAGTGGCAGACCTGAAGACCTGTCAAAGAATTGCAATATTTGCCCAGCTGGCTTTCAGAGTTGGCGTGGACCTGAGCTCCTCTACCAGTCACATGGTACAGGACAGCTGTGAGAGCAGAGCCGGGCAGGAGGCAGAGCGGGGAAAGCCGCCTCGTGGGGTCGTGGGTGTACCGGCCTCGAGAAGCCACACTGGAGGAGCTGTATAGACAGGACTTGATTTAGATGACAAGATTGTCAACTGAAAGCTGATGGCACCTGGGAGGTGAGATCAATCCATTTGGTAACGTTGGAGCAGCATTCCGTATACTCAGCACGTTGCATTCCTGAGGTTAACTTCAATAGACTATTATTTTTTAAAATTTTTTTTCTAGTAGTGGATGGACACTTTACTTATTTTTATATGGTGCTGAGGATCGAACCCACGTGCAAGGCAGGCACTCTACCACTGAACAACAGCCCCAGCCCTCAATTGGTTGTTATTTGAAGCAAACCTTTATATAGTGATGACTTGGCTTTGCTAAGACGTGTTTTGTAGTTTTCCATCTGTGTCCATCAATGAGATGTGCTTGTCAGTTTTTCCTTTAGAGTGCCCTTGTTGGTGTTCGTTACCAACATTAAACCACATAACCACACACACAACACAGTATGCACAATCTAATAGTCTTTTTCTTTTCTCTGGTAGGTTCTGTTAAAGATTTGAAATGATCTACTTTTCCAATATTTTGTACAAATTACTTTGAAATGCATTATTTGCAGAAAACTTAAAATTTCTTTAATTGTTAGGGGTTTGGGGATTTTTGTTTTGTTGTGGTGCCACAGATTTTACATGCGAGGCAAGACTGAGCTATATCTCCAACCCATAATTGTCATAGGTTTTAAATTCTCTTCTCAGTTTCCTAATTTATATTTTCTAGGAAACTACCTATCCAATGTCCTTTCTTTTTTTTTTTAAAATATTTTTTTTAAGAGAGAGTGAGAGAGGAGAGAGAGAATTTTTAATATTTATTTCTTAGTTCTCGGCAGACACAACATCTTTGTTGGTATGTGGTGCTGAGGATCGAACCCGGGCCGCACACATGCAGGGCGAGCGCAATACCGCTTGAGCCACATCCCCAGCCCCCAATGTCCTTTCAAATGTATTGAACAAAACATTTATATCAACCTCTTACTACATTTTTAATAATTGTAGAACCTCTGGTTAGGTTTCTAGTTTTCTTCCTAATATTGTTTATTTTTACCCTTTAGCTCTTTCTTTTTCTCTGTCTCTTTAACCTAAAATTCATAAAAGAAAAGGCTGCTAAGTTCTCAGGAGGATACTCTGGGTT